GATCACAATTTTATTATAAAGAATCAATACAAAATCAAGCCCCCAATAGTTGTAGCACGGCTGGATCCAAGGTTTCTTCTAGAAAAAATGAGTAAGAAATACAGACATTATAACCATGAAGTTGGCTGTTCTAAAATGATACAAGAAATTGCTGGAGAATAGCTGAGTTTTTCTGAATCTGGAGATTGGAAGGAAATAATCTTTTGTTCACATCATCTAGCAAACTATTGGCAACTATAATGAATCCTTAGCTGCTTTTAACGTGGCTCTCTATCATTAAACAAAAGAACCAAAGCTGTGTGGCGTAGTGTGACCATACCTACGCATCTTTTGCACACAAGCGCTCTGAATTGAAAACGAAGATATTCTTAGACTGTGATTGGCTTTTAAGAGCAAGAACAATCTAAAGATTACAGTAAACATGCATTCAGAAAGTGTGAGAGTTAAGATGAGGCAGTTGCAAAATGAACTATAGAACTAAAGCATGGTTCACTATAATAAAAAATCTTACATGAAAGGAAAGTATCCATACTCAGATATTCATAGGCTAATATCATTGAAGTTCCCCACGCCGACATACCGAAAAATCTTGGACCCAGCCCTCTGTATAGACCTATCCAACCATCATTTGCAATTAGACTTTTCAGTACTTGTGTTGTAGAGAGTCGTTTCTCGTGGCCCATCACCTGGAATGCAAAAACAACTATTATAACAAAATGGCATATGAGCAGTTGCACTGTCAAGTGAAGCCAGCAAACGTAATATGAATTTTAAACAGGGGTAAAAGAAATAAAGTATATCTACTTTAGTTTTTGCTCAAGCAAATGGGTCTCTTAAGTCTTAACCTTCATCTCAAGTCATCTTTGCATCATAATTAGATTGAAAGTGTCAGAGAAAGTGTACCTTATACATTGTTGTTTTAAGGTTTTGGACCATTGTGTTCAACCAATAGTTAATTTTGCGCTTTAAGCTATTATTTCCATTAAAAAAAAAGATTTGATTGAAAATGCTTTGCCTAGAATTTAGTCTATAACAAGCAAAAGCTCCAGAACAAATAGGCAGTAAAAATAAGGATAAAATCCAATGCTGAAGCATATATTCTCATAGACAGAATAAGATGTTTTCCAAAGGCCAGCGAAAGAGAATGTGAACTGTGAAGCATCTTCTTGACTCAGTGACTCAGTCAATCGCAGAAGTATGGAGAGTACGCCCACTCGGATAAGGGTGGCGGTAACGAGTCAGCGATCAAAGGTTTTTACCCGCACGCATCGATTAGCAGCAGGGGAGTGTCCGACTGGACTCTTCGGAAAATCGTGCGATCAAACACCATCGGTTTCAACTTTCAAACTTCTGTTCCTTTAATTGATCGCTTTCTTTTTGTATGAAATGTAGGACTTTTGTACTGTAGAAGACACTTGGCGGTAAGACAAACTGAGAAAAAGGGGAGTTTGTAGTGGATGATAATTGGGAGGGATTTCATTTGAAAAAAGTTAAATTGTAAGAAAAAACTGTTGAATAAAATTGAAGGTAACGATAGATATTGTAGTCTAAACACTAGAAACAATTATTGTAATATTTAGAAATGAAAAAAAAGTATTGTATAATTTAGATTATATATATTAAATTATATAATTTAAATTATTAAAAAAGATAATCTTTTAATATTAAAAATATTTTAATTTAATAATTTTTATTTTACAATATGATATAATATAAATGGTAAAATATAGGTCTCATCTAGAAAAATCTACGCAAGCAACCAAAAAAAATGGAAAATGTGGGGAAAGAACAAGACTTGAGCTGGGTGCACACATGCCTATTACACAAACAATGGCATCGACAACCAACGCCAATCACACAAAATCAACAAGCAGTAGTCTCATGCACTCTCTTACTGACAACTAATCACACATGCGGCTAAATTTAACATATCGTCTACTAACAGGTATTTTTAATCAACTTTTGAGTAAAAATCAGACTAGTAACTATTAAGAAATACCATTAACTAATTTCTTAATTGACTATTCATTATCGATTGATGTGGATTGAGATATTATTGTGATCTCACTTGAACGCTCATTAGTGAAGATAGAATTGCTGCTGTTCGCGTTTTCCTCTACGGTTTCCTCAAGCTGCAATATAAACTCCAATGCCCCCACGATCTCCCTCATTGTTGGCCGTTCATTTCCACGTTCGCGCACACAATTCTCTGCGACCTCACCAAACTTCTGCAAGGCCATCGGCGTAATCTGGCCTATCAAATATGGGTCCACGATTTCATCAAGGCTTCCTTTTTTAAAACAATTAGGGGCCCATTGAGCCAGGCCCACTTTCTCCTCTGACAAGCCTTGGAAGATCGGTGGCTTACCACACAGCACCTCAAACAAGACCACACCGAAGGAGTACACATCAGATTTCTCGGTCAGTCGCTGCAAGCGATAATATTCTGGGTCTATATACCCGAAACTACCCTTCACCATTGTGCTGACGTGGTTCTCGGCCGTGCTTGTAGGGCCCAGTTTCGACAAACCAAAATCTGATACCTTTGCCACGTAATTTTCGTCCAGTAATATATTCGATGATTTCACATCGCGGTGGATGATAACCTGCTTTGCCTCTCTATGGAGGTATTGCAACCCACGCGCCGCCCCAATGCAGATCTCTTGTCGCTGTTTCCATGATAATGGTGGATTCTTGGTTTTGTCGAGATGATCACGGAGTGTGCCACGTGCCATGTAATCGTACACCAGGATCATCTCGTCATGATCATCACAGTATCCAATTAGAGAAACAAGATGCCTGTGTCGAAGATTCGAAAGCATGGCGATTTCGGTGTAGAACTCGTGGGCCCCTTGCCTTGATGAAGGATTTAACCGTTTGATTGCAATGGTAGCGCTCCCATCATTGATAATCCCTTTGTAAACGTTGCCAAATCCTCCTCTTCCAATTAAAAATGTATCCTCAAAATCTTGAGTGGCCGCTTTGATCTGAACGATTGAGAAGTGACGATAGAGATCGGACGGTAGCGAGGAGGAGGTTCTTGTGGCAAACTTTGATGTGAAAGAGAGCGAGTCTTTTAGTTTCCTTCTCTGTAAAATGAAGAAGCTCAAGAGGAGAGAAAACAGAGCAAAGCCACCGAGAATAGCTCCGATCATAAGCAAAATTGTTGATTTTTCTTCCCTTTGTAGACTTCCTGGCAGCAGTCTCAGTGATTGAGGACTGGCGATTAGATTAGGATTTGGCCCTGCATCATTCCGATTCAATTTGAAAATCTCTAAACCGTTCAAGAAAGCATTGAAATATGAGGGTTTTGATGATTGATCAGGATGCAAATCTAGCCGGAGTTCGTTCGCTTTAGGACCTTTCCCGACTAAAACTATATAATCTTTATGAATCGGAATCCCAGAGCCACCAGCCATGTCAAATACGTCTACTTGTTTCACCGCCGGTTGATTATTGATGAATATGTTGAAAACAATTTCATTTGATCTGGTGATCGAACTAAGGACCTCACAGAAATGAAGCCTAACGAGGTAGGAGAACTCTGCATCGACAGTGAAAATCCATGTCAGGTTACTTTCCATATTGAACAAAGATTCATCGCTCATCATGCGTGAGGTAGTGTAAACATCCTTCGGTGCAGTGTACTCCGGTGTGTCTGGGGTATATTTAATCGGTGAATCAGCTACAGTAACCCACTTTGATGCAACCAGATAATCCTCATCTTGATCCCATGTCCGGTACATTCCAGTATCATCTTCGTTCTCAATTTTCTTTCCACCAACATTGAGACGGTACATAGTCTCGAGAGCAGTGGTATTATCCAAATTGAAGGAACGACCACCCTCTGCAGGCACAAGTGGGATTTCACTACCACGTAGATACAGGAGGCTTGGCATGGAAACAATTTCGATGGCGTTAATGAAAGCGAAAGAGTCCGGTGATGGAGTAAAGGTTACGTTAAGCATCTGGCCGTCCCACACCGTGACAACATACTCTTTGATGAAGGAGCCCAGGGCGTGAATCGTCCAAGAAGCACTGAAATTATTCAAGAGGGTGTAATGGTTGGCAGTGACGGAGAAGAAGAAGGTAGCTGCGTCAAGACCAGAATATGTTTCTGGATAGAAGTAGAGACGGATGAATTTTGGACCAGAAAGCACGGGGAAACTGAAAGTAAACTTAGAGCAAATGATAAGTGCGGAGGGATAGGGATCTTGGGGAAGAGAGCGAAGTTGGCTGGAGGCGTAGGAAGAAAACGATGCGTTTGGGTTGTTGAAGGGGGAATATTTAGAGTAAGGATCGGCCTCCCAATTGCGGCCATCCTGTGATATAGTGTTTGAAGTTGCACCGCAGTCTAGGAGTATGATGTCTGTGGCGTTGTAACCAGCGGTAGCGGCGGCCGAGAGGACATGGAGGAGAGAGATGAAGAGAGTGATAAGTGACAGCGGATTCATTTTGTAAAGCAGATTAATCCGATAGCCTAAAACCTTTCTTTAATTTAGTGGCATTCTGTATAACTCGGGGATGGTTGAAAAATCGTAGAATAGAATGGGAGATTAACGTTTATCACGTAGTACGACTTTTCTACAGTAGAAGTCAATGGTGAGACTGATTGAAAGCAAGTGAATATGCTCTGAGGAAGAAATTTCATGGAGAAAAAGTGAGGCGAAGACCTGCAATGTCTTTGATTGAATTTTATGAGGCCTGGATCAATGACCCCGCGAGTCTAATGCCAATGACATTAATGTCCCTTTGATTGTCACTTTAATTTACTTTTTTAAAGCAGAACTGAAAATTGACTGGCCACTTTAATTTGCATTCAGTTTTCTTGGCAACATATATTTTTTCACACGTATGATGGCCATCAAAGCAAAATAAAAAGCTTGTGATTCAATAGTTATCCTATACCGGGAACATAAGAAAAAAAAGAAAAAAAGAAAAAAAAAGAAGACTTCTTCGGAGACTTCACATGAAGCATCCAACTTCATGCTAGGAAGGTCCTTCCTCTCCCTTTGGACGAGAATTACATGGCTATTGTGTCTGGATTTTGATTTGTCGAAATTGGCTCCCACTAGCACGTTGCAGTCAGCATTGTGGTGAATAGTAGCATCGGGTATTTAGACTCAATTCATTATAACTAGCTTCGTTTCATAATTATTGTCATCAGGGACAGGGTTACTGTTCTCATCACGATCATCATTTTCATCACCGTGATCATCATTTTCATCATCCTGATTGACATGATATTCTTTTATACTTTGCTTGGCGTATTCTTCAAGGGATATGTCTCAGGGAATACCTCACCCCCACCCTAGCATTCTCTTTGTTGGTTGTGACTTTTCCTGAACTGTTAGATTAATCTTTGTTCATCTGTTACAGTAAAAAGGTCAATATACAACACTGAAAAGAAAGGTTAAAACCCCTTTTTGGTCCCTAAACTATTGTACGGACCCCCGATTTAGTCCTTAAACTAAAAAAATACTTGATTTGGTCCCTACTGTTTACCCATTTTACCCCAACTTGGTCCTTCCGTTAAAAATATAATGACGTGTCCCGTTAATTAACCGAGTATGATGACATGTCAAAATATTCTGACACGTCAACTATACACATGGACAAAACACGTCAGATTTTGGGAAAAAAAAAAATTAAATTGTGGGGCCCACCTCCAACCCCTCAAACGCACTATCTTCTCCCCCTTTCAACCCTAGAAGAGCAGTTCTCCACTGGGTTCTCGAAGGAACCCAGCCGCTGGGTTTCATTGGAACCCAAGAGCTGGGTTCTTTCGAGAACCCCTGGGTTCTTTCGAGAACCCAGGTGTTGGGTTCGTTCTCAAACCCAGGCCTTGGGAAGAACCCAAGCGCTGGGTTCTCGAAGGAACCCAGC